GGGCATGTTTTCATATGTCTCTTGGCTTTCTGTATGTCCTCTTTCGAAAATTGTCTATTTAGGTCCTTTGCCCATTTTTTTTATTGGATTGTTTATCCTCCTTTTGTTAAGATATATGAGCTCCTTGTAAATTTTGGAGAATAGGCTCTTATTGGATATAACATTGGCAAATATGTTCTACCATGCAGTGGTCCTTCTTGTTGTTTTGTTGATGGTTTCTTTTGCTTCCATTGTACTTCCTACTTTGAAATTCTTACCTACATATAATGAAAAAAAAAATCTAAAAATTAGAATGACATTTTGAAAATATTACCAAAGGTTTAATGTGATGAGAATAAGGACTGGAAATTATTGCACAAAAAATATAATCATGCTTTTTAAAAAGAATAAATGTAATAACCTGTAGCCATGATTTTTTCCTCATTGTTTATAGCTGCTTAAGTATAGCTTTACTGTAACTTTATGATTTTTCTCTTAAAATAGTTATCTGCATTGAATCTATAAATTGCTTTGGGTAGTATGGACATTTTGATGATGTTGATTCTACCAATCCATGAACACGGTATATTCTTCCATCTGTTTATGTCTTCCTCTATCTCTTTTTTCAGTGTCCTGTAGTTTTCGGCATATAAGTCTTTTACCTCCTTAGTTAAGTTTATTCCTAGGTATTTTAATTTTTTTGGTGCAATGGTAAATGGGATTGCTTCTGTAGTTTCACTTTCTGTAAGTTCACTATTGGTGTAAAGGAATGCCATGGATTTCTTAGCATTAATGTTGTATCCTGCTACATTGCCGAATTCATTTATTAAGTCTAATTCAATTACCTTTTGATTAGTTGGATTGTTAAATTCTTCCCACTGGCCAGAGCTCACTTGGAACTGACTGAGCCTTGCTGTTTTAACAGGTTGTGGTGCGGAGTTGTCTGGGGCCATGGGCTCCTTCAGCAGCCCTGGATACCCAAACACGTACCCCCCCAGCAAGGAGTGTATATGGTACATTCACACTGCTCCTGGGAGTAGCATTCAGCTCACCATCCACGACTTTGATGTGGAGTATCATGAAAGCTGCAGGTTTGACGTCCTGGAGGTAGGAATTTACATTGTTTTTCAACACATTCCAAAATCTGGGGTAGAATTGGAAATCACTGCAAAAATCCCTACATTCTTTCCAGTATTCCGATCGGTGTTCTATTAGAAATTTTGATGACATTTGCAGACACATGGGATTAACATCTCAGTTTGGCTTTCTCTAAAAGAAGTGCTTCAAGGGCGTGGTGGCCGGCAGCTTCTAGGAGGCGATGCCAGGAAGCAGGCATTAAGGGAGCACGTGAGGAAGGGTGCAGGATGAAGAGCCAGTAAAGGGAGGCTCTGTGAGCAACCTGGGCTTCATCCTGCTGGGACCCTCTGAGCTCTAGTGAGGACTACTCTTCAGAATCATCCCTCTCAGGACACCGAGCTGAAGCATTGGTCCTGCAGTCCCACCCCCACTGATGGAGGAAGTACTTGGCATGGTTAGTGCCCCACACTTGCAGCCTGGGAAAGGCACTGGGGAGGCAGAGTGCGTGCAGGGAAGGCCGTGGGCTGCGGGCACTGGGGTGGGGCAGGGCAGTAAGCAGAGGAGTTGTCCACCGTACCTGCAGCTGCAACCTGACGGGGTTCACGTGGGGCCAGGTGCGAAGCACATCTGCTGCAGAGGCTTTGAACAAAGTGGTCACTTAGACAGTTTGAGGCATTTTCCAACATTACTGCAAAGGGTTTGTCTCAGATAATTTCAGTGGCCTTTGGGAATCTATTACAGTCAGTTCTTTATCGCAGGAATCTAGTCATTAGGGGATTATACATGGGGTAGACATCCTGAACTTTGACCCACCTGCAAAATGTAAGGCTTCTAAGTATGCACAGAACTATCACCATAGGAAAGCGGATGCTATTGCATGTGACAGTCATGACAAGTGTTTCTCTCTACATATCTGGTAGAACTTAGACACCATGAGGGCTGGGTATTGTGGTGCTTTTGTTTTGTTTTACTGCTATTTCCCTAGGGCCACAGATTGCTTGTCAAATAGCAAACACTCTATATGTATTTAATGAATGAAAACACAAATGTGTCTATGATTGACACACCATAATAGCACACATTTATGGTGGTTTACAAAGGGATTTTGACATCCATTTCCCCCACTTCAATGTTCAATACTCCTGTGAGTTAAGTGGGGGGAGGGGGGGATTTTGTCCCCATTTTACCATTGTCAAACAGAGGCTCAGAAAGGTTGATGGGTTTTCCCATGACTACAAGGATGGTGAGTGGAAGAGCTATTGTTATCGGAGGATTGCACAGGTAAAATTCCTCTGTTGCTACTGAGATTAGGGTATCCCTTTCCCACTGGGATCTTGGGGTCTGCTTCTTTCGATATCTTAAGCAAAAGAATTTTCTAAGATTCCCACAGGAGAATGAGATGGGATAGAAAGGCTTATTCATGTGAAATTATATACTTTGGGTAGCAAAGTCTCATATCCCTTAAATCAGTCCTGGAAAATGGGTAGCCAGGGCTTCAGCAGAGCTAGAAGCAGAGTCAGTGCCCAGAATTTCTGTTTCGTAGTGGAATTGAGTCTGGTACAACAACAGGCTAGTCCCAGTCCATCAGTCCATTGTGTGGGTCCACATGGCCCTGAGCTGGTGGGCAGATGCAGGGAGTGTGCCCCATGTCACAGGAGAGCCAGGAGCTCAAGAGGACCAAGAGCACCAAGAAGGAGGACTTCTTTGTTCAGTTTAAATACCAAATCTTCCTGTGCTCGCAGTGCCCATCCCTACATGCCTATTCTGGGCAACGCCCTATTCCTAGGTATGAGTGACAGGCAAGCACCTTCCCACATCATCCAGACCCTACTGGGCATGCGTCCATTGTCCAGTCCCTTTCCCCAGCAATATGCAGGAATCAGGCCTGGAGAGTGTTAAACTGCAGCTTCCTGGCAAAGCTGTACAAATGTCATGCCTCTAGTATCTGGCCTTCCCTTTACTCCTTTCCTGTTATTAATTAGTAGCCAGGTTATTAGAACAGTGTTACTATCAACTGAATGCATCCACTACTCAGCACTTCATGTAAGCCGGTAATGAAAAGATAGAGGTAGGCAGTATGCCAGATATTGAAATGAGTGGCAGGTATTTCAAGGAATCTTTAACACTTAAAAACTTTAATTACAAAACAGATTCTTTCCTTGAAAAGAAATGGGGTTCTCGAGTCATGCCCTCACTGAGTGGTTGCAGGTCACTCATACCTAGGAATAGGGCATTGCCCAGAAGAGGCATGTAGGCATAGGAACTGCATTTAGCAGCTCAAGTATCTATAAAGGAGGATATGCTGCAGGGAATATATCAAAGACAGAGCTGGTAAGTCCTTGGGTGAACCCATCCCCTCATCATCATGTAAGTTCTGTTGCCAAGTCATGACTCCATCTCAGAAGACCTGATTTTGGGGAGGAGAGAACAAGGTGGCAACCGAAATTCACACTCACAGTACGAAGTGCGACTAACACTCTAATGTGGAATCTTCAGATGGTCCCTCTTGCTAGCAAGGGTATTTCTCAGTTGCATAAAACCCTGGACACTTACAAAAGGCTGGCAGCACATTTTTCCTCAATGTGAAATGTTCCAAAACCTTCATGTTCATATCCACAGCGTAGTTGGCAAATGTAAATAGGTTCATTGTGCTTTGGGCTTTGTCACACCCATTACGTGAGAAAGCAAAGACTGGGGCTGCTCCCTGCAAGCTGCCTGGGGACAGAAGGACAAAGCAGGGACTGCAGGCAGCAGCACTCAAGCCGGGCACTTACTGTGACTGCACAGGAAGGGCTGTGAGAAGTGGCTGCAGTCTGCTTAGGGCTTATGTTTTTAGGACAAGGTAGTCTCCCAATGTTCCATCAAAATCAGGGTTTGGGGGGATACTTTGAGGCCCTTAAATATTTTGTGAGTTTTTTCTTAAGGCTAAAATAAGTATCTTCCTTACTTAAAAAAAAATTGATTTCAGAGAGGAGGGGAGAGGGAGAGAAAGATAGAAACATCAATGATGAGAGAAAATCATTGATCGGCTGCCTCCTGTAAACTCCCAATAGGGAATGGAGCCCACAACCTGGGCATGTGTCCTTGACTGAAATTGAACCTGGGACCCTTCAGTAAGCAGGCCAATGCTCTATCCACTGAGCCAAACTAGCTAGGGCTCTTCCTTACTTTTTGTTAAAAAATCTTATTTGACCTCTCTGCAAATACAGTGGGGCCTTGACTTACAAGTTTAATTTGTTCCGTGACGGAGCTCATAACTCAAATTACTTGTATGTCAAATCAAAAAGTGAATGAGTGAGACACGTGATGCTGGGCTGATGTTGTGGCGTTCACTGTGACGTTCGCTGTGCCAACTAGCGGTGGGGTATCTTAAGCTGGCTCATAACCCGAACTTAGCTTTTAACTCAAAGCAAAAAATCGGCCAAGAGACGGCTCGTATCTCGAAAAACTCGTTAGTCGGGACACTCATAAGTCAAGGCCCCACTGTATTCAAGTCAGGTGGAAAATGCTGTAATAAATTGCACTAATAATAATCCTATATAATAAAAGGCTAATATGCAAACCAACTGAATGGCGGAATGACCGGTCGCTATGATGCACACTGACTACCAGGGGCAGATGCTCAATGAAGGAGCTGCCCTCTGGTGGTCAGTGCACTACCACAGAGGGAGTGCCACTTAGCCAGAAGTCGGGGTCATGGCTGGTGAGTGCAGCGGAAGCCCTGATAAGAGCCTCTCCTGCCTCTGTAGCAGCACTAAGGATGTCCACTGCCAGCTTAGGCCTGCTTCCTGTGGGGAGCGGGCCTAAACCATCAGTCAGACATTGCCTGAATGCTCTTGGAATGCGAGAACATACAGACCAGGCTGAGGGACGCCCCCTCCCCCTCAAGTGCATGAATTTTGTGCTCGGGCCTCTATTTGTTGATATAAGAAACATCCAAACCTGTAGAGAATTTTCATGAGTTTATTTGAGCCAAACTGACAATTGCTGAAAGCAACAATCTCAACAAATACTCTGGAGAATGGCAGTTTTTCAGCTTATCCTATCTAATAAAAGACAAAAGGGTAATTGACCGTACATTCGCTACACTTCCCATTGGCTAATCAGGGTGATATGCAAATTAACCACCAACGAAGATGGTGGCCAGCAGCCACGCAGCTGAAGCGAGCAGGAGGCTTGCTTGCTCCAGTGATGGAGGAAGCCAAGGTTCCCTGCCTGCTGCGGCCCAGCTCTGAGCTCCGAAAGCAACAAAGTTTCAATTATAGAAGCTAAACAAACCCCAGATACCTGCTTTCAGTTGGCCATGGCCACGGAGCCGGCTCTTAGCTCCAGTGACAGCAACGAAGTTTCAATTATAGAAGGTAAATAAATCCCAGAATTAAAAAAAAAGAAAAAAAGGAGAGGCTGGGAGCTTCAGTCACTGGCCAGCCTGAAAACGGCCCTCAGCCCCTCATCCAGGCTAGCCAGGCACCCCAGTGGGGACCCCCACCCTGAAGGGGGTGTGACCAGCTGCAAAAAGCCATCATTCCCTCACCCAGGCTGTCCAGACACCCAAGCGGGACCCTGACCCTGATCCAGGACACCCTTCAGGGCAAACCAGCCGGCCCCCACCTGTGCACCAAGCCTCTATCCTATATAGTAAAAGGGTAATATGCAAACTGACCCTAACAGCAGAAAGACTGGGAATGACTAGTCACTATGACACACACTGACCACCAGAGGGCAGATGCTCAGTGCAGGAGCTGCCCTCTGGTGGTCAGTGCGTGCCCACATGGGGGAGCTCTGCTCAGCCACAAGCCAGGCTGATGGCTGCCAGTAGAGCGGTAGTGATAGGAGCCTCTCCTTCCTCCTCAGCAGCGCTAAGGATGCCCGACTGCAGCTTAGGTCTGCCCCCCACTGGCAAGTGGACATCCCCCGAGGGCTGCCGGGCTGCCAAAAGGATGTCTGATTGCCATCTTAGGCCCAATCCCCTGGGGAGCAGGCCTAAGCCAGCAGGTGGTCATCCCCCAAGGGGTCCCAGACTGCAAGAGGGCACAGGCCGGGCTGAGGGACCCCCCGACCCCGAGTGCACAAATTTTTGTGCACCAGGCCTCTAGTTTTATATATTAGAGTCAAAGGAAGGGGCAGGCATAAGGAGGGTTACATGAAATCCATTGGTGGTAGATTAGGGAGGCGGGAGAAAGCAACGCAGGGAAATCTCTGGGATTAGATAAAGAGTAAAACAAGAGAGATGCATACTTCTTTTACATTGGTGGGTTCAGGATAGTCAATAATTAACATTCAGAGCACCATAGAAATGGTTTGGGGGAACAAGATAACCATGAGCAGTTCTGTGGTCTCTTGCTCTGAGTGGTCTGTAAAAGGAGATTACTCTGACATTATCAAGGTTTGTTTTCTTAGATGCAAAATGGCAATAGGCAGGCTCAGGTTAAGGTAAAGACTGACCTTTGATAAAGAAGCTATAGTCCTAGGATGTGACTACCCATCATGACCTGCTTTTTAGTTAGGAAGTTTTATGTTCAAACCATCCTATTTGGTTAGTTTGGTATCTGAGTTTTACGGCCTACCATGCTGGTCTCCCAGGGCTTGTCAGATTTAGTATGTGGCCCCTTTTTTGTCTACATGATAAAATGATTTTTTTCCATCCCTCAGACCACAGATACTGATAAGGTGTTAGCAAGTGGTTTCAAAATTTGTTACCCTTGGTGGGTGTGTGGCCTAGAAGCACTGCTGGCTATTTTGACCCATCTTGCACATTATCCTTTCCTGTTGTGCTGAGAGAGCCAAGTAGGACCTCACTGTATTGGGCTTACTTGGTTTTCACCAAATTTAAGCAGGAGTCAATGTTTTTCTCCCTCAAAAATCCATGTCCAGATACTGGCCATTGCATTTTTCAAAAGCCATTCGGTTACTCATAACCCTGGAATGCTGACTTGATTATAACAGTAAATGGAGCTAACAGAGCAGAAAGAAATGTTCAAAACAGATTAAAACCATAGGCTTTGAAATGTTTCATATCCCAAGAATTTGCTAAAAGCACATTTTTAAATCTCTGATCACCAGACCAGTTCTCTTTCCCCTAAAGTTTAGTCATATGCTGTAATCGAATGAACCACACCCTGAAATTCTTTCCAACTTTCCCTCTTTTGAAGAGTCATATGTTAACCGTTGGTGTTGTTTGTGAAAGCCTAAAGTGCCTTTCTGTTGTTTGGGTCGTGGAAACACTGGCTGGTTTTTCTTCAGTCTCTGAGAAAGGAGCCGAACCGGCATAAAGCCGGAAAGGAAATCCACTCCTTGGTGCAATAAACCTAGACAATTGCTTGATGTGGGCAGTTAGTTCCCTCTGGTCCCTGTGATGGTCTTTTGTGAGCCCAGCCCAGTAAGAAGGGAAGCAGAAGTGGTTGTGTTTATTCTTATGGAGGCTTCTAGGCCTAGCCAACTCACATCCGTTTTGTTTGTATTCTCAAGGGGACCCATGGGCAGGGAAAACAAAGAATATTTTGCCAATGTGCAAGTTTTCTTTGTTAGCACTAAACCCTGGGACCCGATGTTCTCTCCAAATACGTGCTGCCTGTTGGGCTTGGATGATTAGGAGCACATGCTGTCAGTTTCATGCTCTGAGAACTGCGCCCAGGGCGAGGGGGCAGGGAAATCTTCAGAAACAAGAAGCAGTGCTGCTCCTTGCATTTGCATACGTGGACGTGGAGAGGGCCACACAGGGCTCTTCCCCAAGTCCTGCTTTGGATGGGACGGAGCGGGCCACACAAACACAGCTCCTCCTCATGAAAATAAGCATGAAGCTGTCAGTGCTTCATTCCTTGGCGATTACAGTCCTTGCGCTCAGGCCTCTGTGCAACAGCAGTTTCATTCATTTTGGTCTTTCCCGCATGACTGAGGGAATTAATTGGACAAAGAAATCATTATAGATTCAAATCACATACTCCCCCAAAGTAGGCTTGTTGTTCTTACTCTCTCTCCCCAGGGAACACTTGAGAGTTTTCCCTATCCATCAACAGCTTCCTTGAGGGTGGGCAAGGGCAGGGGGCCTCGGGGACCGGGGAGAGTAACAGGAGGTGGAAAGCAGCACAGAGCACAGAGGTGGGAGGGCACAGCACACAAATCTCACTGAGCACTGCTTTCCTGGTTCCCACCCTGAGCATAGGATTATGATCACACACGTGGGGCAGAGGGAAGGACCCAAACACTAATATGCTTGAAAACTGTTGTCCAAAATTGTCTTTCTTCCACAAATTTAAGTTTCTCAAGACCTGATGGTAGGGGATTAATATCTTCTTCTTTAAAAAAAAAATTTATTTATTTTAAAGTTGAAAATGCTACCACTTATTCCTTTAGCCCAATATATCAATGCACAAATATCGTAAATATAAAAAAGAGAATCATATGATAAACTCAGAAACAGCCTCTGATTGTAAATTCTGTCAGTTTTCTTATAAGATGTCATCTTATCTCTCTGAAATGAAGGGAAACTGCCTCATTTTCTTTTTTGTTACTCAAAATCCAGAGCATCCTGTTCAGTGATGTTTTATCCAGTTTCATAAATTTTCAATTTTTATTTTCTGCAATCATTTTCTTTTTTTATAGACATGTATTTATTGCCATTTTGTAATTCATATTTTTGACATCCCTTCGCCCCCTTCTTCTTAAAGAAGACCGTTGATCATTTCATGTAATATTGAATTGGTGGTGATGAACTCCTTTAGCTTTTTCTTATCTGAGAAGCTCTCTATCTGTTCTTCGATTCTAAATGACACCTTTGCTAGGTAGAGTAATCTTGGGTGTAGGACCTTGCTTTTCATCACTTTGAATATGTCTTCCCACTCCCTCTGGCCTGTAAAATTTTAGCTGACAGTCTTATGGGTAAGGCTGCAAAGGTAACTGACTCCTTTTCACTTGCCGTGAACCCTTTAACAGGAACACCTGGGACTCTAGAAGCCCTCCATCTCACTCAACCCAAGCCCTGTTACAACCAGAGGTTATGGTCTTCTCTTCCTGGCACTGGAACCCTGGGCTGGAGGCTTAGTGTGGGCCTGGAACCCCTTGCTTCTTAGTAGCTGAGATCCCTCCCTATTTTTAAATTTGTTTTTTTTTTTATTGAGTTTTTAGAGATAGAAAGGGAGAGAGATAGAGAGAGAGAGAGAGAGAGAGAGAGAGAGAGAAACACTGATGTGAGAGGAACATCCATCAGCTCCTCCTGCATGGCCCTACTGGGGATCAAGCCCCCAACCCAGACATGAGCCCTGACTGGGAATTGAACTGGTGATCTCTTGGTGCATGGGTTGATGCCCAATCCATTGAACCACATTGGCCAGGCTCGCTCTCCCTTTTCTATCTGACACATGTCGGTGTGGGACCAGTTTGTTCCACATCTCCACCCCTCCTACCAATCTCGATGTCGCTGCTTCTTTCTATGCTTAGTTGCAGGATTCTGTTCAGTTAGATTTCAGATAATTCTGATAGACGGTTGTTCTGTAGTTTAGTTGTAATTTTGATGTGGTTATGAAAGAATATGAGTACTGCACTTACCTATGCCACCATCTTGACTGGAAGCCCTGACCAAAAATCAAACCTGCAACATTTTGGTGTATAGAACAATGTCCCAACTGACTGAGCCACCTGGCTAGGGCCTTAATTTTATTTTTTAATATCTTCTGTTTGATTATCTTCCCCACCCTGTTCCATGCAACACATACACTGGCTAAGCAGGATCCACTGGTGTGTGAGGTGTCCTGGAGGCCCGGCCTGGGCTGGACTAGACTTGCTTGCGAGATGCTGGATGTGAGACCAAAGGAGTCCTTGCTGGGGGGAATGCATCACTGGGATGTTAGAGCCCAGTCAAATAGACAGTTGCAAATTGGAGGAGCCTAGGTCTGAGGACAACTGAGATAAAGCTAGGGGAAACCATCCAGAGACTGAGGCCGAGCACAGGGCAATTCCTGAGCAAAGTTGGATGCTCTTGGTCATATTCCTGAGCATGGGCATCCTGGAAAGGGGAAGGATTCCTTTCCTGAGGATACCAGAGAACACACTCTACAGGTTATATTCTCACTCCTTCTGACGAGATTGGCATGTCAGGGTGGTATGGCCATAGACTCACTCCTTCTGAAGAAGCAGAAATATTAATTAAATGCCTAATCTTATAAAATATTCAGATTACAAAGTGGAAAATCTTAAAAATATAACTGGGAGATCAATAGCCTTCAATGAATTTTCACCAACAAGATGGCTTTAAAGTACGTAGAAGAGTTAGAAAATCAGACTTGATTCTACATGACCAGCAATGCCTCTGCCAAAGAAAGCAGGAAATCCCTTTGGAGACATGAAAAAGAGGAAGAGGGGAGGTAGGGGACACTCTGGAATCATCGATACAGTTCAGCTCTGCAATTCTGGCTGATAAAATAAGCAAGCATTTCGTGGGTGGTGCAACTTGTGAGTTCCCAGGGCAGAGGGAGTGCCTTTGAAAATCCAGCTCAAGTTTACAGTTCATCCCCACCCAGGGAGGCCAAGACTGCAATTTCTAGTGATAATAAAGTTCAAGAGCTGGTGGCAAAGTGAGTCATGGAGGGCTGTATTTGCTCAAATATCTCCCCTCATTTAAGTTCTTTTTTTCCTATCCTAGATCTATGGAGGCCCCGATTTCCACTCTCCCAGAATAGCCCAGCTGTGTACCCGGAGGTCACCTGAGAATCCCATGCAGGTCTCCAGCACAGGACATGAGCTTGCCATCCGATTTAAGACTGACAGCATGATCAGTGGGAGAGGCTTCAATGTCTCATGGCAGGCTGTCCCTGGAGGTGAGTGAACCAAAGAGAAATCTCAAAGTACTGAAGCCTAGCCCTTGTGAACTTTGATGAAATGATTGGAGAGAGGTATGAAGGCTCCACCCTGACAACTCTGTGACTTCCCTAGTGGTGAATACTGCTTTGGCATGTACTCTTCCCTGAAAAATAGGATAGATTTTAACTTCTGAAGAGTCACAGTGCATGTGAAAACAAGGAACATATGTGAATCAGTGGTGAGAGTGGGAGTGGGTGACTGGTTAGATTCACTTCCTCTCTAAGGACTTGTGCCTGTTCACCAGCCTTAAGCTGGGAAGCAGCAAAGTGGTAAATTTCTTCACGCCCCAGTTTAGACCAGTGATGGCGAACCTTTTGAGCTTGGCGTGTCAGCATTTTGAAAAACCCTAACTTAACTCTGGTGCTGTGTCACATATAGAGATCAACCAAAGGACTTGTATGCATGCATATAAGCATAACCAATGGACATAAGACACCGGGGGATAGGGGAGGCTAGGGGACTGTCAAAGGCGGGGGGGAAAAAAAGAACACATATGTAATTCCCTTTGTAATACTTTAAGCAATAAAAAAAAAAGAAAAGAAAAGAAAGAAAAAAAATTTTTTTTGATATTTGCAACCATAGTAAAACAAAGATTTATATGTTTGATATTTATTTTATATATTTAAATGATATTTAACAAAGAAAAATCAACCAAAAAAATGAGTTTGTATGTCACCTCTGACACGCGTGTCATATGTTCGCCATCACTGGTTTAGACCCTTGCATTCTTGGCAAATGTCAAAACTGTAAATGTTAAATTTGTGAATTCCAAGGAGTTACCAGGGGTTAGATAGTGACATTCTGCCCAAGAACTTAGGCAATCTGAATAAATTACCTGTTGCAGATTGTTTAACTAAAAACTTAATGTGCAAAATATTTTAGCAGATATTAACCTGTACAACTACTCATATTATCTGAATTTATTGAATGCTTACCATGTGCCAGGAACTTTACTATTCTATAAGACTCATCTCCTTTCCACCCTAAGAGGGTAGTTCATTTCTTACACTCATCATAGTAAAGAGGAAATCAAAGCATAGAAAAGTTAGTGACTTCTAGAAAGTGCCAAAGCAAAAATGTAACCTCAAGCTACCTTATGGCCCCACTTTTGTAACTCTTAAGGTAATATAACAAGTATATCTCATGTTTCCTGAAGTCAATAATGTATGAATCTTATATAATAAGAGCCTAGGTGGCGTCACATGCAACATCATCACAAGATGGCCACCACAAGATGGCTGGCAGGGGAGGGCAGTTGGGGGCAATCAGGCCAGCAAAGATCGGGCCTAAACCAGCAGTTGGACATCCCCCAAGGGGTCCCATATTGGAGAGGGTGCAGGCCGGGCTGAAGGACACCCCCCCCCCATCCCAAAACTTTGTGCACCGGGCCTCTAGTTTAATTATAATTATAAATACATATTATTTAGATTACCCCAAAACGATTTGCAGTTGTTAGAAAACTAGAGGCCCCTCTACCTGGCCTGCGGGGATCAGGTCAAAACCAGTTCTCTGACATCCCCCGAGGGGTCCCAGATTGCGAGAGGGCGGTTCTCTGGTGATGTACCCCAGAAACTGGCTCCCTACTCTCTGGTTCCTGGTGAGTCACCCGAGAACCCTAGCTGCCAAGTCACTGCAGCTCGGCAGCGCCTGCATTGAGCATCTGTTCCCTGGTGGTCAGTGTGCATCATAGCTACCGGTTGAAGCATCTGCCCCTTGATGGTCATTGCATGTTATAGCTACCAGTCAAATGGTTGATTAGGCTTTTATATAAATACTAGAGGCCTGTTGCACGAAAAGATTTGTGCAATAGGCCCTCCCTTCCCCTGGCTGCCAGCACTGGTTAACCTCCGGCACCCAGGACCCAGGCCTTTGCTCTGGCCAGAGCCGCCTTCAAGCCTTTGCTGCTTGGGCCTGAGCTGCCTTCAAGCCTTCGCTTCTCTGGCCAGAGCTGCCTTCAAGCCTTCGCTGTCCAGCCCGGACGCCCTGGGTTGGGTCGCACACAGGATGCCCGCCGCCCCGGGTTGCAGATAGCAGGCCCAGATGGTGGCGGGTCAGCGGGGATGGCGCTGTCCCACCCTGCCTGCAGTATGCAAATTAGCCGCCATATTTGTTGGCAGTTAATTTGCATATTGTGCTGATTAGCCAATGGGAAGCCTAGCAAAGGTACGGTCAATTACCATGTTTGTCTATTATTAGATAGGATGGATAGATAGATAATATTGAATGTTTCCATTATTGCTTTGTATCATTATCAATCCAAGAAATAATGGGTCATAGAGGTGGACATTGATGGGTATTTGATAATAACGTAAGAATAAAAAACTGAATAAATGTACCAGGTCCCGAATACTAATTTTGTTTATTGTTTAACACTATTACAGATGTTTCTCATTTTCACCCCCTTTGCCCACCTTTACCCCCTGCAGCCCCTCTCCCCTGGCTTTCACCACACATGAAAATGGTGTTTTCTGTGTTCATGGGCTATGCATATGTAATTTAAAAGGCAGATATTAAATTATTTATAGAAGCATACATTACTGAAGTAATCAATTTCTTGGAAGGAGATGTGTTATCCTTACAGTTTACTATATTGTTAGAGAAGCATGACAAGGCATTTTATAGCTTTATGAAAACATGATTTCATTTGCACGTACTTTTCAGTATTTTTTTAAAAAAAATGTTTTTCTTGATTTTTAGAGAGAGAGGAAGGGAGAGGAATAGAAAGATAGAAACATCGATAAGAGAGAAACATTATGGATCGGCTGCCTCCTGCACGGCGCCCCCTGGGGGTAGAGCTACATCTTGGGCAAGTGCCCTGACCAGAAATGGAACTGGCAACCTATTGGTACCTGGGTTGATGCTCAACTGCTTAGCCACACTGGCCAGGCAACTTTTCAGTATTTTTAAAATAACTTTTGGCATTAGTATAAAATATCTGAAGTATTTTCTTAATTGTTCTTATTTGTTTTGTTTGGATGAATGAATAGTGGATATTCATGTCTACAAAATGTTTGGCATAGATTACATAAAAGTGGTAGTCAAAGTATCTCCTTGTTATGGGTAAAGTTTTATGTATCAGGGTTTCGTCTCATTAATGAATTGGGTTTTCTACTTGCAGGTTGTGGTGGGATTTTCCTGGCTCCCAGTGGAGAGATTCATTCTCCAAATTACCCCAGTCCTTATAGAAGTAACACTGACTGTTCCTGGGTCATTCGAGCGGAAAGAAATCACCGTGTTCTCTTGAACTTCACTGACTTTGATCTTGAACCTCAGGACTCTTGTATTATAGTAAGTGGCACAAATTTCAAGCCTTGTCTAGAGTCAAACCTGGGTCAAAACATTGCCATATGAGCATATTTTGCAAATATATTAGTTATGAGTGTTTTGGACATCAAATCATAGGAAACCTACCAATTAGCAACTTAAAATATGAAGACAGTTATTTTTTACCTACATACAAACCAGGAGGTAGATAATCTCAGGGTTGTTTAGAACTTCAGTTTCTGCTCTACCATTCTTAGTGTGTTGGCTTTTTGTTTTGTGACCTCATGGAGCAGACCGTCCAACCTTGGGAGAAGGCAGGGAGGGGGGGTTAGAGATCAACCAAAGGACTTGTATGCATGCATATTAGCATGACCAATGGACACAGACATCAGGGCAGTGGGAGCTTGCCCTTGGGGACGGGAGTGGCCGTGTGTGTGTGTGTGGGGGGGGGGGGGGGGCGCTAATGGTGGGGGGAAGGAGACATGTAATACTATAAACAATTTTAAAAAATGACTGCAGCAATTCCAAACATTTTTTAATGAGTTCAAATCTGAGAAAAGGGAGAAGAAATAGCGTTAGTTGTTTCCATTTTATATTTTTTTCATCAAAAATGAAAATTTTTCATAGAAGCCCTTTTACATATCATTGTCCAAAATTGGCTGCAATAAAGGTTAGGTAAGTATAGTGGAATGGAAGGATGAATTTATCATAGCTACTTTAAATCAATTATTTTTAAGCCTCTAGGAGGGTTCTCCTTTTCTTGAGATCAGGATATTTGAACAAATGTGGCTGATAGGAAAGAATATATTGGGAGAAGGGTGTGAGAGGGAAGGGATATGGCCATTAGTTGTTTGGATGAAAGATAGGTTCTGTTACTGCCAACACCTGTACCTAATGCTATATGTTTAATGTGTGAGTAAGTGAGATTGAATTTTGAGATTTCTTTTTGGTTTTAATTTAAGTATTTTTAACAAAAGGTTTTCCACCTCTTATTTGTATTTTGTAACACTTTATTAAAATACCAACCAGATTCTCCTAGCTAATGGATATTTCTATTTTAGTTTCCTGACAGATTCTTATACAAACTCCAACTGGCTACCTTTCAAATTTAACTTAAGAAAAATCAAAATTGTTTTAGATTTTTCAAAGTAGTCCAGTCTAATGGTATAATTGTAAGTATTATTGTATAATATTAAATCATTAATGTACTTAAAAGTTCAGTTGAATTATGATTACATATTAACCTTCTAAATGAGTCTTCAGAATCTAAATTAGCAAAGCATTATACAAACTTATGGCAGGATATCTACTTTCTGTAATGGTAACTTACACCAACTCACTTGAAAAAGACAATTTAAAAACTTGGGATGATATTTAAAAACATCTTCCTAAGTGCAAGAAAGACCTCCCAAGTAGCGTGAAATTTCTGAGTTAATGTCAGAGGCCGACCTGAGCCTAGTACTGGGACTGCTTTTGCCTGTAGGGCATTTGCTGATCCAGAAGCAGGTAGCAACACTACGGAGAGCCTCTCAGGACAAAGAGGAGCGAAGTTCCAGTCCAGACCCTAAATAGGTTGGAGACCCTGGTAAACCATCCTAAAGCCTAGGTAAAATGAGAGTAAAACAGCCTTCACAGAGGCTGCTTCTTAGCTTCAAGTCACCTGAGTGGCCTCCAAAATCTCACGCCATGGAATAATGATGGGAACCCTGTACTGCTAGTGCATTTAAGCATTGAACATCCAGTAATTTAAGGGAGATAAATTCATCCTACATCTCATTTCTACCCATAATTTTTCATATACAATAGCCAGTGTACCATCATATATATGAGACGATAATATAACATAAATGCAATACAACATTAATAACAGACATTGGAAACAACACACTGATATGCCAGATACTAAAATTACCAGACACAAGTTGGTAAACAACTATAGTTACTAAGCTTAGGGAAGTAAAGGTAAAACTTAAAACTTTTAGCAAGGGTTGCAAACAATAAAAAGTAGCATTGAAAGAAAGAAAAGGAATTAACTGAACATTTATAAGTGGATAAATACAGTAGCTGAAATTAAATTCTCAGTGGAAGTTTTTTTTGCATATTAGATAAATTTTTTGCATAGTAGACAGAGATGAAGATAGAAATAGTGAACTGAAAGGTATATCAGAAAAACCTATCTGGCAAAAAGTATGGATAAGCAAAAGGATAAAAAAATGCAGAGGAGAGGTAAAGACACACAGAGGGTAGAGTTAAGAAGATATAACATACATTTCATTGTAATTCCAGAAGGAAAAGAGAGAAAAATGGAGCAGAATCAATATTTGAAGAGCTAATGACTAAGACTTTTCTAAAACTGATGAAAGACATCAACAAGACAAAAACAAGGATTCCAAGGAACCCAAACAGCCAAGCAGAATAAATAGGAATACATACTTATTAACAAACAAACAAAAACACTTAAAGATAAAGAAAAAAATGTTACATTCAGCCCGGGAGTGGGTGGGTGGGAGAACAGATTACCTTTTAGGAAGGGACAGACTCAGTGTTGACTTTGCAGTTGGGATAATTAGAAGCAAAAATGACAATGGATGATATTTTCAGTTTGAGGAAAGAAAATAATTACAAACCAGGACCTCTGCACTCTCTGAAATAGCCTGTAACGATGACGGCAAAATCAAGCATTGAAGCAGAAGAGGGGCCTTCAGAAGACGTGTGAATGGGCCAGAGACATGCTGTCTACCTCGTAGTGTTGCCTGCTGTGGGCATTTCCCCATCACTGTTCCCTCCCTCTGTATGGTGCCAAGTACAGTTTCATAAAGCCCATAAACCATAGAATTCAACGTACAATGGTGTGGGACTAAAACAAGACCTAGGTCAAAGGCACACCCAGCATGGATGCATCATTTCCCTCCCGTGGTCATGAGTAGGCTTTCCCCCCTACCTGAGATATAAATACACAGCCTGGCTTTTCTATTAGCCACTGCCTTATCTCAGCATGCAGCTGGGCTTGACTTAAACTGAAGTAAGAGGGAACAGATTGGAAAAAGTGAAACCTCAACTATGATCTGGTCATAGGCATGGAGATTGGAAAATAAACCCAAAGACAGGTGCTGGGAAGAGTCCAGTCTGGCAGATAAGGTCAAAACCAAACAGTATTAGTCCAAGCAAGTTGTTGGAATCAGAACATTCTGTATGAAGTAGTTGGAGTGTCCCCGCCAACTACAAATGGGGCATTCAGAAGCTAATGGCACTAAGCACTTGGGTAACACACTGATATACCAAGTGAATTACCCCAGCAGTCCCATGGTGAGGAAATCTAGCTCTGTGGTGGAGGGGACCTGAACTGAGTCGGTTTTACCACTTTCTAGCTGGGAGAAAGCTAATCATTCCACTTCAGTTTCCTTAACTAGGAAATGGGGGTAGTAATAACATCTGTGTCAGATTTGTTGTCGGGGTATTTGAAATTACGCACGTGACCTGCCTGTCACATAGAAAGTTCTCAATTAGTGCTCCCATAATCGTAATGACACTGATGATGAGTGCCCTCAGAGGCATGTTTGAGCAACACCGAGAAGGGGAAGATGTCCTGAGCTCCCAGAAGGGGCAGTGGCCTTAGGAGCCAGGACCTCCCACCTGTGGTCCTGGGCCTCAAGGTCTTCAGTAAAACAAGAGCCTGTTTATGAATCTTTGTCACAGCACAGTGCCAAGCATTTAATGTACCTAGGACCCAATAAATTATAATAATAATCAGGAGAAAACAAGAGTGACTCATTTAGGCCTGGAAGCCAGAGAAAGTTTCACACTGAAGATTCATTCTCTGGGAGAAATGTGGTAGCGGGGCCAGGAGAGGACACTGTAGGGAGAGAACGAGGGCAGTTGTGCACAGAGGTGTGAACACGCACAGACGTTTGGGAATAGGAAAGGAGAGCACTGTACTTGGAGTGAGCTATGTGTTGGAGAACATGTAGAGACCATGGGACTATAGAAGATGCCAAATTGGACAAACTCTTGTATGTTCTGTGAAGAATGTGAAATGAAAGCTTTCTATAAAACAGAGGAGTAATACACTCAAAACCATATTTTACAATGATAACAGACAGTTATTACAACACCGTTGGCAGAGAAAGATGGTATAAAGGCCGTTTCGGAAGCTATGAAACCGTGGGCAGTGGCCTTGGGGATGGAGAAAAAAGCCATACTGAATAACTCTTAGAATGAAATTAGAGGCTAATTCTGTGGTGGAGGGTGGGCTGGGTGATGAGAGGTAGAAGAGTTTAGACTATTCTCTTGAAGAATAGGTAATGGTGATGCCATTAACTAACTGAGTAAAAGGGCAGACTACTGAGTTTGGAACCTTTACGGAGTTCAACACGTGAATTCAGTGCTCCGCATGGGGTGTGAGCTGGACGTATCTATTTGAGGATAAGTTCTGTATATTTGGATGGTTATTCACACCACAGAGGTAGCTGTGTCCACTTATAGGAGAATTTTGTAAAGACAAAAGGGCCAAGTGAACTCTGGGAAACAGTTAGGGGCAGATGAAGGAACAGAGGAGAAGGAGACCGAGGAAAGGACACTCAGAGAGCGTGGGTAGAATAGGTTGAAACAAAACCATTGGATTTGGTCTTTGATGACTTTGTAAGGCCCAAGATGGTGTGTGTGGTAGTGGAAGACTCCAGACCTTCGCCCTTTCCCAGAATGATGGAAGTGAATGATTTAGAGGGAAGGCAAGATCAACGGAAAGTTATCTTTTTAAATATGGAGAAGCGTAAGCATATCAAAAGAGCAAGATGCTGGTGGAAAAAGAGCAGCTGAGTGTAAGAAGTAAATGGAATAACTGATGAAGGCATGTTATCAGGACAGAGACCTAGAGAAGAGACAGATTGATCCTATTGATTTCATGCTTTTAGAATGAGAAACTGGAACACACACCAACCATAAGCTATTTTTTTACTTGCAAATGTATTTATTGAAAATTATATAAATCATACGCAAACTAAATCATTTTTGTTTTTATAATTTAT